ATTCGAACCCGCGACCCTCGGATTGCGAGTCGAGCGCCCTAACCACCTGGTCATGCCGGGCCCCAGGTGAAGTACAACCAGTGCTGTCCCCTCTTGTCTTGTAACTTAAAACGCAAAGTTTTCATCAAACTGACCATTTAATATTTACTACGCCAGCCTGTGCTATTCCTTGAGATCAGCCACTATCCAAGAATGGAAGAATCCATTAACCATCCATTGCTACTTTTCAACCACCAAAAATATTTATCTGTACTGTTCACTACAACCCCATCTGTGGATTTGAAAACCCAATTCTGTTAGCATCATAAAAGAAAAGATAAACACGGATTAAATTTATTAAAACTATGAATTTTTAATGTGATTTATCTCAGACTTCAATGATTCTCATTCTCTGTAAGAGCATAAGCTCTTAATAGACTTGCTATGCTAAAACTGTGTTTTCTATGTGTGTAGAGATAAAATCACGAACACACACACACACACACACACAGTAAACAGTTCTCAGGTGGCTCTTGTGTAAATAACAATGCTCAATACGGGATTCTGCGCGAGTTTTTGAGAAGCAAGGATCGCAAAGCCTTTCAGATTTTATTTCTTTTAAGTGTGTAGCTATCATAAATAGCTATTATTCCCAGATAAATGACGAAATCTGACTTAGGGCCTAGTAATTCAACCACTGTATTAACTGATGCTTGTCTTCGACCCTTCTACTGTTGCCTAGCTCTCGGATGAAAAGAAACTTGCTGTTTCACCCGAGTCAACACAGAATAAAGGTTGTTTCTTTTCGAGTTGTTGGAAATAGCTCAAATCACTGTAATTATATTAGTCTGAGCCAAATCACTGAAAGTGTGTTAGTCTGAGCCAAAGTAGGGATAAAATTTTTAAATAACTCAGTTTACGTAGTTTTGACTTTCTTGTTTCAACACTTTTTGTAGCATTATAACATTCTATATTACTATAGCTAGCTAGGCTACGTATTTATCGATCCGTATTTGTCTTAATAAAATTCAAAATACGTTTATTTTATTTGTGTGTCTTTTTTATTAACTATATTTTTGTGCGCCAGCAATACCAAGCGTGGGACAAGCATATACCCGATTCTATTCTATTCCTCAGGATCTCTACCTACCTACCCTTAAATCTAAGTATATGCTCAAAGTAGCATATCGTCCGTTATATATATGTATATATATATATACTAGTATCCTTTTTGTTGCAAGAAAGTGTTGCATTAGGACCCCAGACGGAGTAGTTCTGTAATAGAATTAGAGCGATAAGGTTCGTCATTTGTTTTATGTAAGCTTGTCTGGAAAACTCACTGACTTACTTCGTTGAAATAGTAAAATTATGATTCACTCCATAAACACGTATATAGCTATTTAGGCAGCTTTATACGTACAGTAACCTTTAGTTTTGCTCAACCAATACTGTGAAATAGTGATCGTTAATATTCAGACATTTTGAAGATGGTTTTAAATTGGCGATTTTTATGGCCGCCATTTTGTTTCATGACGATCCCTACTACTAAGTACTACTGTGCTTAATGATAATCATTGGAACAACGTTAAATACCTATGTTTTGATGAAGGATATTTTTATGATTTTGTTTCACAAAAACAATGCATTTTTATGCGTGTTTTTCCGATCAGTAGCTCAAAATTAAGGACGACAACAGAGAGCCTTAGTGGACTTGCCATAAATACAAACATTCAAAATTGCTTTCAAAACAATTGACTGAAGAAATGCCAAACGTACAAGCTTTACATAAATATTTACTTTGTTTGTTTCATTTCATAAAAAGTAACAATCACAAAACATTTCTTAAAGAACACAAGCTATGTTGATTACATCTGTAAATCAGAACTTTTCATAGCAGCAATACAACGTTACACCGAAACATAAACGCGTACTACTTGGTATACCTGTATATTATAGGGTTTTAGCTGAACTGTAGCGTATTTCATGAAAGTCATTGTATAAGTGATTACTAATTTTCTATTTTTATGTATTAGCATTTTGTAAAAGCAGACTAGTGACATTATTAATGGTAATAAATCCAATATACTAGTGGGGAAAAAAATCCGAATCTCTATAAGCGTCTTGTATGTTTATATATATAGGGATTTACTTGACCAGCCTGTTTTCAGCCGTTGGTTCCCCCGAGTTATTAATTTTCATGTGCACTAATATGTGGGGAGAATTGTTATATTAAAAATTCGAACAGTGATATTTCACTCCCTCACTTTTCACGAACTCCATTCTGTTTCAACGATCATTACAGAAGATTAAAACCTAATAAGATCATCGTGAAGCTCGTCAACTACGTACGTGAACTGAATGCTAACTATGTCTTTGTTAAAGAAAATATATCTCAACCTACCTGTGTACAGAAAAGCTAACATCGCTAAACATCCGATACACTGGGATTTCAGCATGTTGTACGATGTTCTTTGCGATTAGTTCGGTGATGCGCGGATGTTATGTTGTCGGCACGAGCACAACTTCTATTCGGATGCAACAGTAAAGTGTTGCGCGCTAAGAAGCAGTGGATTCAGCGTAACTTCTCGCAGATCAACGTACCAGTGACTGAGGCTGTGATTTAGTGAACATCCCAACCAATCGAACTGGTCGTAACTTAGACAAGTGCGTTACCACTACGACACGTGGTGGCTTGAGTGTAACTTCATCAGATATGAATCTGAACGTAACTAAACCACTAATTATGAATAAACTATTAACATAAAAAATAAGTAAATAATTAAAATAACTCTTGAAAGACAAAGTAAATTTATTCCTACATGTCATGATAATGATGGAAATCGTATTCTTGTTTTGCTTCTTTTTTTTAAACTAATTTTGATAAAATGAAAAATTGTAAATCTGTAGAGATAAGATTTAAATGTAATCACGTATCTAGTTTAGTGGCTATTGTTTGTTTGCATGAACAAAACAAAAGTGCTGAGCGATTGGGTCCGAAATCTCTATGGTTCAGCCATAATAATCTTAATAGACCCCACTAGATAATAGTTGTTGTTCCAGTAATTTTTTAGTAGGTTGGTTTTTACGGAGTGGAGTTGCTAGCCCCGCGCCCAACCCTTTCTCATGCTGGACTTGGGATAAGCAATAGTGTTGGTATCCCTGCCGAGGAACGAACCCGAATCCTTTGGATTAGAAATCCAACGCTCTATCCACTGCGCTATAGGGACATTATGGTTCAGCCATCGTCGTCTGTAATTATGAACCTACCCCCAAGTAGCACAGCGGTATGTCTGTGGACTTACAACGATAAAAACCGGGTTTCGATACCCGTGGTGGGCAGAGCACAGATAGCTCATTGTGTAGCTTTGTGCATAATTACAAACAAACAAACAATTATGAACTGTGATCCAGAGCGAAGGCAACACCCGCCACCTTAAATGGCTACTCTTGACCAAATAACAGGATCGATTATCGCTTTTATTACGCACCCACAGCTGAAAATGGGAAGTGTGTTTGATAGTATCACGTCTCAAGTTTGAGACCCTCAGATTCACAGGCATCATTAGGCATCTTCAGTTTCAGTTATCAGAATAGTGTAACATATAAAAAGTCTTCTTCTGATCATTTAAAAGTTCTGCTCGAAACGGAAAACATTCCCAGATATAATGGTTTTATACTCCAGGTGAAGATATACCCAAAAAGGAAAGCACCGAAAATATAAGGAAATATGTATCTAGATATGAATAATAATGTAAATAACTAGCAATTATAACGGAAAAAGATCATGTTTACACATCTATTTTAAATGGAACGAATTATCAAATATAACAACCAGATTCTGAATAAAGATCTGTTGTGAATAAAAAGCTATTGATAAGTATAACGTTTAGTATCTTAAATATAAAAACTCGCCCTAAGAGAGAAGCCCTATGTGATTTAACGTAATCATACTCTAAAGCATTAAATAATTTTAGGGAATCAGACACTAGATAAAGGACTGACCTGAGTGGAAAGCAGTAGATAATTTCTGGGAATCAGACACTAAATAAAGGACTGACCTGGGTGGAAAACAGTAGATAATTTCTGGGAATCAGACACTAGATAAAGGACTGACCTGAGAGGAAAGCAGTAGATAATTTCTGGGAATCAGACACTAGATAAAGGACTGACCTGAGTGGAAAGCAGTAGATAATTTCTGGGAATCAATTTCTAAATAAAGGACTGTCCTGAGTGTAAAACATTAAATAAGTTCGCGGAATCAGACTTTAAATAAAGGGCTGTCCTGAGTGCAAAACATTAAATAAGTTCGCGGAATCAGACTTTAAATACAGGACTTTCCTGAGTAGAAAGCATTAAATAATTTAATGGAATCAATCTGTCGAAAAAGTGCTGTTCTACTAGCGATTCATATTTTCGTTATTAAAGATGCTTTTTTACCAAACATATTCAAAAGTCCTTCAGCTGAGAACGATTTTAATTGTATTTCAGGTAATAATCACTAAATTAAATCAACTAAAAAAGAAATAAAGTTTTAAAAGAAGCTTATTTTGGCTTTAAAAACTGGGCTTAGATGAATATAAACCTTAAAATATGCAATGTCGCGTGTGTTTACTTCATACTTTTAAAATATTTAATAATAACCTATAGAATGATGTACTTGCAAGCCAAATAAAAAATCTGGTGGCATCTTATATATTAGAAATCTACATCATGCATAAAGTTTTATTACTTGCACACGACATTCCTTTCGACGTAATTTTTCGCTTTGTATTTGAAATATTCCGAGCTAGAAAATAACATATCACCTGACAGTGATTTAATACTTTTAAGTAGTATTAAGCCTTTCAAAAATAGAATATAATGTTTCGCTGAAATACTTCTATTCGAGTATTGTGTGGTACTCAACAACGCATCGTTTCCACCCACTCGCATTCCACGTTCCAAGACCGAAAATGCTATCATTAAACAATTGACAAAGACTTCTGAGGACAACAATGACCACTGATTTTATAAAAATAGATTCACTGCTTTGTCAGATTTCTTTCTCTTATGTTTAATGAAACCAAAACATCAATACCGCATATTGCTAAAATTTGTTGCTCCTCCAGTTTTGTGTGTAATGTAAATGTATATTGTAAAATGTGAGGCAGTTTGAATAGGTTTCACTTCTAAAAACAACATTAACTTATGTAAGTATTATTGAGTTTGAATCAGAAAATAAAAAACAACAATATTATAAAGTAAGCGCACGCATATGCAAACTCAATATTGGAAAACGAAAGCAATGTACTTGTATTTTTTTTTAAAACAAAATATTTGACTTGTAATAGATTATAGTTTTCGCGCAATTCATTTCAAATAAATGTGTAAAACAGGAAAACTAATGCTGAAGAAAAACATCACAGGAAATTTGCCACATTTCATACATAATTAAATGGGTTGGTAAACTATTCGAGTGTGAATTATATATATATACACTAAAGTGTTGTATTGATTAATTTGTTTATTTTATTACAAGATGGAAGTACTTGCGCAACTTAGGTGTTGGGCTTCCTCCAATGTAATTGAGTAACAGAAAACTAAATTTTCAAAGGAACCTTTCCATTAAATATAAAGTATTGGAAAAATTATACAAACAGTGATTAGAATGGGTATCAAATGTAAATATTATTGGATTACTCCACTTCTATGTTATGAAAATGAACTGCACCAGAGTACAATCACATGTTGATAGTTTATATTGGGACGCTGTCATACAAAACATCAAACACTGCCATACTAGCGTACTATTCCTAGTAGCAGTACAGTAATTGCAGTCATGATTCCAAGTACAGAAATGTCACGTGAGAAACGTGTAAGAATTTAACATTTGGCTCTTGAAGGCTACTCCATGCAATAGATTGAAGGGAAATATCGTTTTTAAATAGGAGCTGTATAGAAACTAAAACTGTATGAAAATTGAGTATTATTTATAATAGAAACAGTCAGGCTAAAATATCTAGACAATTCAAAAGGGATATTAACTTAGGGTATGTTATTTACGCAATACATGACAATTTAGTATAGATTTTACCAATGGTCTAGCTGTAAGCACAGATATAAATGTTACCTCCATAAAAGTAGATACGTATTAAATTGAAATAGTCTTAAAGTAACTCTAGCTCCTGAAGAGAGTTGACCTAACCAAAAAACTTAAATATGCATCACACTTTAAACAATTGGGTGATAAAGCTGATTTTACAGATGGATTTAAATTCAAAATATTTGTCAGTTGGTTTAATGACAGAGAGAAGAACAGTATCACAATCAAAGTGCAGAATCTACATTGAAGCATGTTGGGGGACTAATACAAACAGGGATTTCATTTCAGCCAATGATGTTGAAAATCTATACAAAATTGATGGCATCCTGACTGCTGACAGGTACATGCAGGTTCTTATTCATCATGTTATTCCTTCAGAAAAACAAAAACAATAAAAAAAACTGTTGCACAGAGATTTAAATTCCCTCGAGATAATGATTTCAAACAAGTAGTAAATATAGTGCAATGTTACCTGGTATGAAAAAGAAGCTGATGGAACACTCACAACCATAGTTTGGCTTGCAACAATAAAGTATGTATAAGTATGGCCTAGCTGCACATAAATAGTTGACATATCTTATGAAGCAATATTTCAGTTACTCACAGATGGAGAGTTGCAGAATCGTTTAGGCAGCAGAACTTTGCTTACGATAAATAAAATGTATGAATAACTTCTATAACATTCAATATCATGCTTGATGAATTTCAAATGAAATAGATTATCGTTGGTGTTGTGTAACATACTAACCTCATAACATGATTCCATTGTCACAAAATATTAATTACAAATACATAATATGTCTTCATTGCACAAACCAAACGCCAATTAAGTGAATTATTATAGTGAATCATCCATCAATGTTTCTGGACAAGACAATTGACCAGTTTTACCGTACTTATGTTTTGAAGTATATTATTATTGGTAGTAATAGTGGAACACAACATTACAAGGTTGATACAGAGAGAGTTAGACCGCAGAAATCGTGACATTTTTACTTTAACAAATGATAAGGTTGATATTTTACAGTAAATATTTTACAATCTGAAACGGTATATTTCGGACACAAAGAGCGTACATCTTCCTTAATGTGTATTAAAATGTTCGCTTTTACTTTGTCGCCGTGTTTCATTTGAAGTTATTTGTTAAATTTTGAAATATATTCGACTTTATGAGCTATTTTTGATATTGACTTACACGTAGATTTAAAGATATTTGTTTAAAGGTGTGGCCCCACCAGTGGCACAACGGTACGTCTACAGACATAGACCCTAGAAACCGGGTTTCGATGCTCGTGATGGGCAGAGCACAGATAGCCCTTTGTGTAGCTTTGTGCTTAATAATAAACATCAAACATCAATTTTTAAAAGTGTGTTTCTGACAACACAGCCCTTACACACATACACACCCGGTAGCTTATCTGTAAGTCTGAGAGCTAACAACACTAAAAATCTGGTTTCGATACCCACAGTAGGCAGAGAATTGGTCGCCCATTCTATAGCT